TATTATTATTTTATTTGTAAATTAAAGCTACATTTATATTATTAATCATAAAGTCCCCTTAACAATAATAATAAAATTGTTCTTGGTAACACAACAATAGGAAATAGTCATACCATACGCCTCAAGTCTTTGTCCTTTTTTTCCTAGGGCAGGGTGAAAAAATGGGGGTGGGAGGACAACATAGCTATCTGAAATACTTCCAGAAACATGTTTTTCAGTGCTTTTGTTTCATCCTCAATGAGGATAGAATAGTTTCTTGGAACAGATGATTTAGTGTAATAGAATGGGCATGGGTTTTGGAGTTGGCCAACCTGCTGCAGCACTAACTTGGCCATTGGGCTAGATGAAAAATGAAGCCTCTGCTTCTCTGATGTTTTCTTTCCCCTTCTGGACTTCAGCCACACTGGCGTCCTCACCATTATTTAAGTATATCAAATATGCTCCTACTTCTTGGCATTTGCTTTGCTGTTCTCTCTGCCAGAAATGCTCTTTCCTCAGATATTTTATAGCTTCTTCTTTTATTTAATTCAGATCTATGCAAATGCTATCTTCTCAGAGCAGCCTTCCCTGACCTTTCTCTCAAAAATAGCTCTTGTCCCTATTTTATCAACTTGTTTTATAATTTGTCATAACACTTTCAATCACTTAACATTATGTTGTATCACATTATATTACTTCATATTATATCATACTTTTATATCTATTTATAAAATTATGTAACTATTTACTTTCTGTCTCCTTCACCAGAATGTAAGCTTCATGAATCAAGTTGTTTGTCTTGTACACTGCTGTATTTCCATGGAGTGCCTTAAACAGTGATAGGTAAATAACAAAGACTCAAAAAGTATATGTTAAATGAATCGATAAATGCATGAATAATATTGATTTTGCAGGATTACTTTAGAGAACTAAATAAGACAACTTATAAACAAGATAGCAGTAGATGTTCAATCAGTGTGAGCTGACTTTATTCTGTGGTGGGAGAACAATATTGTATTGTTCCCTTTTTATTTACATCAATAAAGATGGTAAGCCAATATATCTGTATGAAATTCTTCTATAAACAATTTTGTTAACTTAGTATTACAGTGTTGAGAGGTATTTTTTATTGTGGTAAAAATCACATAATATGAGATCTACCCTCTTAAATTTTTAAGTGTACAGTACAGTACTGTTAACTACATGCATATTGCTGTACTGTAGATCTCTAGAACTTTTTCATCTTGTGTGACTAAACTCTACCAATTGACAATAATTCCCTATCTCCCCCAACAATTCCTGACAATCACTGTTTTACGTTCTGCTTCTAAGTGTTTATCTACTTTAAATACCTCATATAACTTGAATCATGCAACATTTGTCCTTCTGTGACTAATTTCACTTTGCATAATCTCCTCAAGATTCATCCATGATGTAGAACATGACAGGACTTCCTTCTTTTTAAGGCTGAATAATATTCAATTATATGTACATACCATATTTTCTTTATCCATTCTTTCACTGATGGACATTTATGTTGCTTCCACCTCTTGACTATTGTGAATAATGCTACAGTGAACATGTGAGTATAAATATCTCTTCAAGATCCTATTTTCAATTGTTTTGGTTAAAAACCCAAGAGTGGGATTGCTGAATTATATAGTAGTTCTATTTTTAACATTTTGAGGAAACTCCATAGTGTTTTCATAGTGGATGCACTATTTTACATTCCCACCATAGTGCACAAGTGTTCCAATTTCTTCACATTTTTACCAAAACTTATTATTTTCAGGGCTTTAAAATTTTTTTTTAATAATGGCCATCCTAAAAGGTATGAGGTGATATCTCATTGTGGTTTTGAATTACATTTCCTTGATAATTAGTGATGCTGAAAATAATTTCATATTTTCATGTTGGCCATTTGTGTGTCTTCTTTGGAGAAATGCCTAATCAAGTCATTTGCCTATTGTTTAATTGTTTTTTTTTTTATTGCTATTGAGTTATCGAACAGGTTATATGCCTATCGGTTATGTGGATGTATTCTGTAGAGAAATGTCTAATCAAGTCCTTTGCCTATTGTTTAATTGGATTATTATTTTGTTATTATTGAGTCATAGGACTTGTGTATTTTGGATATTAACCCCTTTCAAATAGATGGTTTGCAAATATTCTTTTTCATTCTGTAGGTTGTATTTTTACTCTGCTGATTTTTTCCTTAGCTGTGCACAGTCTTTAGTTTAATGTAGTCCCACCTGTCTATTTTTGCTTTTGATGCCTGTGCTTTTGTTGTCATATCCAATAAATTATTGCCAAGACCAACATTATGATTGCTTTCTTCTAATAGTTTTACAGCTTCAGGTGCTATGTTTAACTCTTTATCCATTTGGAGTTGATTTTTGTATAGATAAGGGTCCAGTTTCATTCCTTTTTATGTGGATATTCAGTTTTCCCAGCACTATTTCTTGAAAAGACTATCCTTTCCCCATTGTGTAGTTTGGCACCCTTGCTAAAAACTTAGTTGGCTGTGTATGCATGGGTTTATTTCTGGGTATTCTATTCTGTTCCATTGTTTTATATGTTTTTATTTATCTAAGTACTGTTTTGTTTTGGCTAGTGCAGCTTTGTAATGTGTTTTGAACTCAGCAAGTGTGAGGGCTCCAGCTTTGTTCATCTTGCTCAAGATTGTTTTAGGTATTCAGGGTCCATTGTGGTTTCATATAAATTTTAGGATGGTTATATTTATTTCTGCAAAAAATGCCATTTGGATTTTGATAGGGATAGCCTTGAATCAAGAGATTGCTTTGGATAATGCTGTGGTCTTAATGTTGGTGCCCCTCCACAAAAATTTATATGTTAGGACTTAGTACCATATATCTTGGCTGCATCTCCACTCAAATATCATCTTGAATTTCCACGTGTTGCAGGAGGGACCTGGTGGGAGGTAATTGAATCATGGGGGCAGGTCTTTCCTGTGCTGTTCTCATGATAGTGAATAAATCTCATGAGATCTGATGGTTTTCAAAAGAGGAGTTACCCTGCACAAGTTTGCTCTTTTTGCCTCCTGCCATCCATGTAAGACGTGACTTGCTCTTCCTTGCCTTCTGCCATGATTATGAGGCCTCCCCAACCATGTAGAACTGTAAGTCCATTAAACCTCTTTCTTTTGTAAATTGCCCAGTCTTGGGTATGTCCTTATCAACAACATGAAAATGGACTAATATAGTAAATTGGTACCAAGAGTTGAGTGCTGCTGAAAAGATACTTGAAAATGTGGAAGCAACTTTGGAACTGGGTAACAGGCAGAGGTTGGAACAGTTTGGAGGGCTCAGAAGAAGACAGGAAAATGTGGGAAAGTTTGAAACTTCCTAGAGACTTGTTTAATAGCTTTGCCCAAAATGCTGATGGTGCTATGGACAATATAACTGATGTGGCCTCAGATGGAAATGAGGAACTTGTTGGGAGCTGGAGCAAAGGTGACTCTTGTTATATTTTAGCAAAGAGACTGGCAGCATTTTGCTTCTGCCCTAGAGAATTGTGGAACTTTGAAATTGAGAGACATGATTTAAGGTATCTGGCAGAAGAAATTTCTAAGCAGCAAAGCATTCAAGATGTGACTTGAGTGCTATTAAAGGCATTCCATTTTATAAGGGAAGCAGAGCATAAAAGTTTGGAAAATTTGCAACCTGACAATGTGATTGAAAAGAAAATCCCATTTTCTGAGGAGAAATTCGAGCCTGCTGCAGAAATTTGCATAAGTAATAAGGATCTGAATGTTAATCCCCAAGACAATAAGAAAATGTCTCCAGGGCATGTCAGAGGTTTTCACAGCAGCCCCTCCCATCACAGGCCTGGAGGCCTAGGAGGAAAACATGGTTTCATAGGCCAGATCTAGGGTCCCCATGCTGTGTTCAGTCTAGGGACTTGGTGCCACATGTCCCAGATGCTCCAACCATTACTAAGAGGGGCCAAGGTATAACTTTGGCCATGGTTTCAGAGGGTGCAAGCCCCAAGCCTTGGCAGCTTCCAAATGGTGTTGAGCCTGCAGGTGCACAGAAGTCAAGAATTGAGGTTTGGGAATCTGCCTAGATTTCAGGGGATATATAGAAACACCTGGATATCCAGGCAGAAGTTTGCTGCAGGAGTGGAGCTCTCATGGAGAACCTCTGCTAGGACAATGCAGAAGGCAAATGTTGGGTGTGAGCTCTCACACAGAGTCCCTACTGGGGCACCACCTAGTGGAATTGTGAGAAGAAGGCCTCTGTCCTTCAGACCCCAGAATGGTAGATCCACTGACAGCTTTCACTGTGCACATGGAAAAGTTGCAGGTACTCAATGCCAGCCTGTGAAAGCAGCCAGCAGGGAGTCTGTACCCTGCAAAGCCACAGGGGCGGAGCTGCCCAAGACCATAGGAACACACCTCTTGCATCAGCATGACCTGCATATGAGACATGGAGTCAAAGGAGAATATTTTGGACATTTAAGATTTGACTTCCCTGCTGGATTTCAGACTTGCATGGGGCCTGTAGCACCTTTGTTTTGTCTAATTTCTCCCATTTGGAATGGCTGTATTTACCCAATGACTGTACCCCCATTGTATCTAGGAAGTAACTTGTTTTGATTTTACAAGGTCAAAGGCAGAAGGGACTTGCCTTGTCTCAGATAAGACTTTGGACAGTGGACTTTTGAGTTAATGCTGAAATAAGTTTAGACGTTGGGGGACTGTTGGGAAGACATGATTGGTTTTGAAATGTGAAGACATGAGATTTGGAAGGGGCCAGGGGTGGAATGATATGGTTTGGCTGTGTCCCTGCCAAAATCTCATGTTGAATTCCCACATATTGTAGGAGGGACCTGGTGGGAGGTAACTGAATCATGAGGGCAGGTCTTTCTCATGCTGTTCTTGTGATTGTGAATAAGTCTTATGAGACCTTATGGTTTTAAAAAGATGAGGTCCCCTGCCCAAGTTCTCTCTTTTTGCCTTCTGCCATCCAGGTAAGATGTGACTTGCTCCTCCTTGCCTTCCACCATAATCAGGAGGCCTCCCCAACCATGTGAAACTGTAAGTCCATTAAACCTCTTTCTTCTGTAAATTGCCTAGTCTTAGGTATGTCTTTATCAGCAACGTGAAAATGGACTAATACGGTACCCAATGTGCTAATATTAAGAGGTAAGGGCTTTGGGAAGTTATTGAGTCACAAGGGCTCCATCCTCATGAATGGGATTAGTACCCTTATAAACAAAGCTTGATGGAGCTCCCTTGTCCCTTCCACCATGCAAGGACACAGCAAAAAGGTGCCATCTCTGAATAGTGGGCCCTCACCAGACACCAAATCTGCTGGCACCTTGATCTTGGTTCCCAGTCTCTGAAACTGTGAGCACTAAATTTTTATTGTTTATAATTTACCCAGTGTAAGGCATTTTGTTATAGTAGCCAAATGAACTAAGAGAGGTAGTATAGACATTTTAACAATATTAAGTCTTCCAATCTATGAAACATGAGATGTCTTGTCACTTATTTGTCTCTTTTTAAATTTCTTTCAGCAAGGATTTTCAGTGTACAAGTCTTTTATCTATTTGGTTAATTTTGTGCCCAAGTATTTTATTTTTCTAATGCTATTGTAAATGAGATTTTTTAATTTTTGGAAAGGATTATTTGTTGTTAGTGTATAGAAATGTAAGTGATTTTTCTACATTGATTTTGCATGCCTCAACCTTGCTAAATTCATTTATTAGTTTTAAGAGAGGTGAATATTTTTAATGCAGACTACTTGTTCCTATTTGAATCTGCCAAGTGTCCTTCAGCCTGGTCTGTTTATCCTTCCATGTTTCCATTTTTAAGTAGCCCTTCTTGTCTGCTTCTCCAGGTCCCTAAGATCATTAAAGAAAACTAGCTAGGCTGTCTTTGACTCAGCTAGACTGAGTCAAGCTGCTGAGGTACTTTGGAATCACCTGTATTTACGCATTTTAACAGAACAGGACAGAACCCAAAACTGGGGTCAGGGCTGATCCTACCCTGGCTGGTGATGTGAGTCTAGCCATGAATTTTGGTTATCCTGGGGACCAGGAAACAGAAATGGCACTACACAACCTTTCTCTGTCCTAGCAAACCCAAATTTCACAAGGTATTGCCTCTGTTTCCTCAGTAACAGCCACCATAAAAATAACACATCCTGATAATATTTTACATGTTTCAGGCTCTGGATTACTACGAAGAGCTTCTTGGGTATATATTCTGTGAGCTCTACAATAGCTGCACATTGTTTTGTTTTGTTTTGTTTTGTTTTGTTTTGTTTTAACTACATAGTGATTCCCTTGGATGAGGGCAATTTACTACATTTCACACCAGATTTTCCAATGTAGTTGATATAAAACACTTTTTTCTCAGTTCAGGAGGACCATTTAAAATGGGATTTAGATAAAGCTTGGTTTCAGGTGAAAAAAGTGCCCTCCCTTGTCAAAATACAAGAAAAATTACAGCAATATATTACACCTATCAACTTTAAAGTTTTATGCATTGACATAACATCATGTGAAGAAATAGAAGCTAAAAAATAACCTGAACTGGAGAAAAGGTTTATGTTCATATATATTTATCATAACATTATTCATAATGGTAAAAACTAGAAAACCTATGTATCCAACACTAGAAGGATAGTTCAATTATCCACTAAAATTACTCCCATTAAGAGATTATGACAGAATTTAAAAGTACTTATGTGATAATATTAACAGGAAAAAGAGGAGGTGGAGCAAGATAGCAGAATAGAAGGCTCTACCAGCCATCCCCCCAACAAGAGCACCAATTTAACAACTATCTACACAAGAAAAGCACCTTCATAGGAACCAAAAATCAGGTGAGCACTCACAGTTCCCAGTTTTAACTTCTTATCTCTGAAAGAGGCACTGAAGAAGTAGAAAAACCAGTCTTGAATTGTTGATGCCACCCTTCCTCCCCAATCCCATCCCCACAACTCTCCCACCCCCCAACAGCCACAGCATGATGTGCCGGGCATTTCTGTGCCTTGGAAACAGGGAGAGCCAGCAATTGTGAGACATTAGACTCAATGCTGTCTTGTTATAGCAGACAGGAAAACTGTACCAAACTCAGCTGAGGTCCAGCCATGGAGGGAGCATTTAAATCAGCCCTAGCCAGAGGGGAATCACTGATCCCAGTGGTCAGAACTCAAGTTCCAGCAAACCTAAAGCTAAATTGCTATGGGGAGCTAAATGAACTTGAAAGACAGTCTAGGCCACAAGGGTGGCATTTTAGGTGAGAGTCCTAGTACTCACCTGGGCCCAGAACCAGGAGTCTGCAGAGGACACATGACCTACTGGGACACCAACTGGGGTGGCTAAGAGAGTGCTGGAATATTCCTCCCTTAGCCCCAGGCTGCACAGTTCATGGTTCCAAAAGAGAGCCTTCCTTCCAGTTGAGGAAAGGAGAGAGAAGAGTGGGGAGGACACTGCCTTGTATCTTGGATACCAGCTCAGCCACAGTAGGATAGGGCACTCATCAAAGTCATGAGGCCCTCTTTCCAGGTCCTCACTCCCATACATTTCTAGACATGCTGTGGGCCAAAAGAGAACCTGCTTCCTTGAAGTGAAAATCCCAGTTCTCGTAGGATTCATCACTTGATAACTGAAGAACCCTTAGGCTTTGAATAACCAGCAGTTATACCCAGGTACTACGCTGAGGGCCTTGGGTGAGCCTCTGAGACTTGCTAGCTTCACTTGAGACTCAGCGCATTACCATCTGTGGTGACTATGGGGTGAGACTCCTACTTGAGAAAAGCGGAGGGAAAAGTAAAGGGAACTTTGTCTTGCACCTTAGGTACCAGCTCGGCCGCAGGGGAGTAGAGCACAAAGCAGGCTCTTAGGGTCCCTGATTCCGGAATTTGGCTCTTGGACAGCATTTCTTGACATGCCTTGGGCCACAGGGGAGTCCACTGCCCTGAAGGGTGAGTCCCAGGCCAGGCAGCATTCACCACAAACTGACTTAAGAGACTCTGGGCCTTAAGGGAACATCAGCAGTAGTCTGGCAATACTTACTGTGCTTGCAGGGCTATGGGGTCAGGCTCCTCTGCCTTTGGAAGGGGGAAGTAAGAGTAGGAGGGACCGCATTTTGTTATCTGAGTGCCAGCAGTAAAATAGAACACCAGGTAGACTTCTAAGGTTTTTGACTCTATTCCCTGGCTCCCAGAAAGCACTCTTGGACCCACCCAGGAACTCAGAGGATTCACCATGCTGAAAGGAAGACTGGCTTTTCCACCAGCTTATTGTTGAGCCCCACTGCCTTCAGTGAACATAGGAAGTAGCCAAGGAGTTGTTACAGCAAGCCTGGGGCCAGACCCAGTGCTGTGCTGGCTTCAGGTCTGATCCAGTGCAGTCATAGTTGTGGTGGCCACGGGATGCTTGTGTTACTTCACCTCCAAGTCCTGGTGACTCAGAACAGAGAGAGAAAATCCATTTGTTTGGGAGAAAGTAAGGAAAGAGAACAAGAGTCTCTGCCTGGTAATCCAGAAAATTCTCCCACATCTTATCCAAGACCATCAAAGTAGTACCTGTATGAGTCTGCAAAAACCATATTATTACTGGGTTTTGGGTGCCCCCTAAAGCAGATACAGCTTAGATCACAACACCCAAGTCCTTTCAAAAATCTGGAAAAGCTTCCCAAGAAGGATGGGTACAAACAAGCTGAGACAGTGAAGACTAAAATAAATACCTAACTCTTCAATACCTAGAAACAGACGAACATCTACAAGTATCAAGACATTCCAGGAAAACATGACCTTACCAAATGAACTAAATAAGGCACTAGGGACCAATCCTGGAGAAAAGAAGATAGGTGACCTTTCAGACAGAGAATTCAAAATAGCAGTGTTGAGGAAACTCAAAGAGATTCAAAATAACATGAGAAGGAATTCAGAATGCTATCAGATGAATTTAGCAAAGAGATTGAAATAATTTAAAAGGAGAAATTCTGGAGTTGATAAATGCAATTGGCATACTGAAGAATGCATCAGAGTCTTTTAATAGCAGAATTGATTAAGCAGAAAAACGAACAGTGATCTTGAAGACAGGCTATTTGAAAATACAGTCAGAGGAGTCAAAAGAAAAAAGAATAAAAAACAATGAGGTACACCTGCAGGATCTAGAAAATAGCTTCAAAAGGGCAAATCTAAGAGTTATTGGTGTTAAAGAAGAGGTAGAGAAAGAGATAGGGGTAGAAAGTTTATTCAAAGGGATAATAATGAGAACTTTCCAAACCTAGGAATTGTAGCAATATCCAAGTGCAAGAGAGTTATAGAACAGCAAGCAGATTTAACCCAAAGAAGACCACCTCAAGGCATTTAATAATCAAACTCCCAAAGATTAAGGATAAAGAAAGAATCCTAAAAGCAGCAAGAAAAAAGAAATGAATAATATTCAAAGGAATTCGAATATATATGGCAGCAGACTTTTCAGTGGAAACAGGCCAGTAAAGAGGGACATAACATAATGGAAACAGGCCAGCAGAGAGGCACATGACATAATTAAGGTACTAGAGAGAAAAAAAAAAAAAAAAACTTTTACCCTAGAATAGTATATATCTGGCAAAATATTCTTCAAGCATGAAGAAGAAATTAAGACTTTCCCAAACAAAAGCTGAGGGATTTCATCAACACCAGATCTATCCTACAAGAAATGCTAGAGGGAATACTTCAATTAGAAAGAAAAGGATGTTAATAAGTAATATGTGGTCACCTGAATGTACACAACTCACTGGTAATAGTACGCACACAGAAAAACACAGAATATTGTAACATTATAACCGTGCTGTGTTAACTTTACTTATTCTAAGTAAAAAGACTGAACAATGAACTAATCAAAAGTAATAACTACAACAGCTTTCAAGACATAAACCATACAATAAGATATAAATAGAAACAAAAAAGGTTAAAAAACAGAGAATGAAGTTAAGAAGTAAATTTTATTAGCTTTCTTTTTGCTTATCTGTTTCTTTGTTTATACATTGTTATCAGCTTGATTCTATTTGTGAGCCTTATGGTAACATGAAACCAAAAACATACAATGGAGACAAAAAAATACAAAGCAAGAAACTAAATCACCAAAGAAAATCGCCTTCACAAAAGAAGGACAAGAAGGAAAGAAAGAAAGAAAAGAGAGAAGACCACAAAACAACCAGAAAACAAATAACAAAAAGGCAGGAGGAAGTCTTTATTTATCAATAACATTGAATGTAAATGTACTAAACTCTCCAATCAAAAGACATGACTGGCTGAATGGATTTTTAAAGACCCAAAAATCTGTTACCTACAAGAAATATACCTCACCTATAAAGACACATGTCAACTGAAAATAAAGGGATGGGAAAAGATATTCCATGTCAATGGAAACCAAAAAAGATCAGGAATACCTATACTTATATCAGACAAAATAGATTTCAAGACAAAAACTGTAAGAAGAGACAAAGAAGGTTTCTATATAATGATAAAGGTGTCGATTCAGCAAGAGGATATAGTAATTTTAAATATAGATTTACCCAATACTGGTCCACCCAGACATATAAAGCAAATATTATTAGAGCTAAAGAGAGAGGGCTAGGCGTGGTGGCTCACGCCTGTAACTCCAGCACTTTGGGAGGCTGAAGTGAGTGGATCACAAGGTCAGGAGATTGAGACCACACCCATCTCTACTAAAAATACTAAAAATTAGCCAGGCACGGTGGCAGGTGCCTGTAGTCCCAGCTACTCGGGAGGCTGAGGCAGAAGAATGGCATGAACCCAGGAGGTGGAGCTTGCAGTGAGCCGAGATAGTGCCACTACACTCCAGCCTGGGTGACAGAGCGAGACTCCATCAAAAAAAAAAGAAAGAAAAAAAAAGAGAGAGACCCCAATACAATCATAGTTGGATACTTCAATGCCCCACTTTCATAATTGGACAGATCTTCCAGAAAATCAACCAAGAAACATCAGATTTTTAATCTGCACTATAGACCAAGTGGATCTAACAGATATTTAGAATACATTTCATCCAACAGCTGCAGAATACACATTCTTTTCCTCAGCACATGGATCTTTCTCAATGACAGACCATAAATTAGGTCACAGAACAAGTCTTAAAACATCCAAAAAAATTGAAATAATATCAAGCATTATCTCTGACCACAATGGAATAAAATTAGTAATCAATAACGAGAGGAATTATTGAAACTATACAAATACATGGAAATTGAACAATATGCTCCTGAATGACCTGTAGATCAATGAATAAATTAAGAAGGAAAATGAAAAAATTCTTGAAACAAATGATAATGGAAACACAACATACCAAAACCTGTAGGATACAACAAAAGCAGTATTAAGAGGGACGTTTATAGCTATAAGTGCCTACATCAAAAAAGAAAAAAACTTCAAATAAATAGCTCAATGATGCATCTTAAAGAAGTAGAAAAGCAAAAGCAAACCAAAGCCAAAATTAGTAGAAGAAAAGAAAAAATAACAATCAGTGCAGATATAGATAAATATGAAATTATGAAAATAATATAAAAGATCAACAAAATGGAAAGTTGTTTTTTTGAAAAGACAAAAATAATTGACAATCCTTTAACCAGACTTCCTAAGACAAAATGAGACAATACTCGAATAAATAAAATCAGAGACGAAAGGGTCATTCTTTGCATTTCTGTAGTATCAGTAGTAATATCTCTTTTTCCTCTCTGATTTTATTTATTGGGTATTCTCTTTTTTTTTCTGAGTTTGGCTAAATGTTTGTCAATTTTATTTATCTTTTCAAAAAACCAACTTTATGTATCGTTGACCTTATGTATTGTTTTCTTTCTTCTCATTTCATTTATTTCTGCTCTGATCTTCATCATTTCTTTTCTTCTACTAATTTTGGATTTGTTTTGCTCTTGTTTTTTAAATAATTATTGTTATGTTGGCTATTTGAAGTATTTTTACTTTTTATATAGGCACTTATAGCTATAGTCTTTCCTCTTAGTACTGCTTTTGCTATATCTCATAGCTTTTGATATATTGTGTTTTCATTGTCATTTGTTTGAAGAAGTTTCTAAATTTTATTCTAAACTTCTTTATTGACACACTGGTAAGTCAAGAACACATTGTTTAATTTCCGTGTGTTTTTGCAGTTTTCAAAATTCCTCTTATTACTGATTCCTAGTTTTATTCCATTGTAGTCAGAGAAGATATTTGGTATAATCTCAAAGTTTTAAATATTTTAATACTTGTTTTGCTGCTTAATATGTGTTCCATCCTTGAGAATAATCCCTGTGCTCAGGGTACACAGAAAGCCCAGTGCTTTAGAATGCCTTCCTTGAAAGAGTCCTTCTGGTCACTGAAACTGGCTGAGGCTGTCTCCTCTGTGAGTGACACTACTGGACCAGACTGAAATAGATATTCCTTCTGCTCTTCTCACTCTGCCCAAGTGTACCTTGCCCATCCTTCCCATTTGTGGTGATGTGTTGTAGGAAGGGGTACAGTCATATTCTAGAAGTGTAGTGATTGTGGAGTAAATAGTATGAGAAAAGACATGGTTGGATATGTATTTTTCTACATTTACTCTATAAAATTCTGAAATGTAAGTTTATCATGACCAGAAAATGAATTATTGTTCACATTTTCCTGCATACACTGGGTAAGATTTACATGAATAATCATCATCAATAAATCACAGTAACAACCTTTAAGACAGTCACTGGAAGCCAATATTCATGGGCAACACAATGGAGATACAGAATCATGAGTAATGATATAACCTCCATTAAACAAAAGATAGTAGAGAACTATAGGTATAAGAAGATCTATATTATTTCAATACAAAGAGTGAAAAGTCATGGTGTTGTGAGTAAAATAGTGTTGTTACCTTTTCCTTCTAGTGGGAGACATGAAATTATCCAGGAATGGCAATTTGACCACAAAATACATGAACAGATGGTTCTTGCATTTGAATGGGAAAAGACGCTGCCTAGATAACACAAAGAATTTTTATATACTGTAATTGGACAATAAACAAATATGTAAGTGCTTCTTCTGTACCCACAATTCTGAGTATTCATCATTAAGTTAGATGGGTCTATGAATTTTGTCATATATTTTTAACCAAACTGTTTCTAGAGACAGAAACCCAACAAAAATATTTACTCATGATTCCATATGCCCTAGGGGAGACCCTAAACATATTTGTCACCAGCATTTGTCCCCCCTGCATTTTATGGGGCATATCAACTTTCCAGCTTCTATACCCACTAATGCCAAATAACATTGAAACATTGTTTCTGACAGTCCATCTTGAATTGGAGAACATTGTGACTCATAGTGACTTTTGGATGCATTTGGATTTCTTGGATGTTGTAAGGTAAGAGCACCTACCTGCTTCCCCCATCTCTTTCTAAGATTGTCATCTATTAAGGCAGCCTTAGCTCTTAGAAAGATCTTATTACAATTAAGGTCTAGTTATGTTAGTCCTTTCAAAATCAGACTACCTTTACTAAATGCCTATATGTGTAACAAAAATCCTCTTTTGCAAACTAGTTGGTGGAATGCAAGGAATAATTATTTCTAGAAAACCTGCTAAATAAAGATGTTAATCACAGTCTAAGAACAGTAGCAACACAAATGTAACTGTAGGTGAAATGGTTAAGATTGCTATATTCACTTGATAGCATATTATGCCACATTTTATAAAACATATCTACAAAATTTTTGAAGCGCCTGTCATAAAAAGGTGGGGTCTAATTTCCCTTCCCTTGAATACAGGTTGGCCTTAGTGACTCATTTCTAATGAAAAAAAAAAAGTAGTGGAAGTCATGCTGTGTGATTTATGAAGCTAGATCATAAAAGTCAATACAGCTTCTATCTGGCTTACTTGCATGGGAAGCTCACCCTTGGAATATAGCTACCATATTTTGAGGAAGTTTAAGCAACATGGAATGGTCACATGCGGTGTTTCTGCTGACAGGCCAAACTAAGGCCCCAGCCAGTCAACAGCCAGCATCAACCAAGATACATGTGCATGAGCAAGCCATCAGTGGATTCAACCCCCAGCCTTTGAAATGTCCCAGTTAGTACTGAGAGTAGCAGAGTCCAGCTGTCCCTGCCAAGCCTTGCCAAAATTGCAGATTCTTAAGCCAAATTAATCTTCTTGTTTCAGCCACTAAGTTTTGGGGTGATTTGTTATGAAACAATAGATAGTCAAGACAGATTGTGAAAAACTGGGAAAATAAAGCATAGGATATATTAGGTGAAAAACTCAGGAATCAATATGTAATTATACTTACCTAAATGATTCTATGCATAGTCCAAAGACCAGAATAAGATACCCCAATTCTAAACAGGGTTTTTTTTGTTTTGTTTTGTTTTGTTTTGTTTTTAGGGTGGGGATGTCTCCAGGTATTTCTTTCTCCTCTTTAATTTTCCAAATTTTCACATACATATATTAAACAAAACCAGTAAGCTCATTTGTTACCTTTTTTTTTAGTTTATCTGATTTAAGTAATTTAAGGAACCATTAAAACAGTGAACCTTCTACCTATGGGCTGACTCAGTCTCTTTTTGTGTGCCAAAACATTCCTGGCAGCTTTTATTGTTGATCAACCAAGCATACACTGAATGCAAGGCAGACATGATTGAAACATATTCATTTATCATAAATTAAAGATCTTAATTGGAAACAGATACCCAATGCAGACATCTCCCATCTGCTGTTGGTAATGTTGACATTAAAAATGTCAGTAGAATGAAACTCATTAATTGCATATTCTGGGGATCACAAAAGCATTAACTTCCATCTGAAGGAGTTCAGGCAATCACCTCTCACATTTTGATGGCAGGACCAGGGAGCCCTGTTCACACCTACAGATGACACTTGGAATTTTCTGAGAAAGAAATGGTAAGCAACTAGGATCTATTTTCATAAGCTCACTCACCTCCTCTTATCAACAAATTCCAAGGAGTGCTCATTAAATACTGACCAAATTTGGAACAAGGAACAAAATCAGAGCTCTCTTGAATAAATTCTCTCTTCTAAAAACGTTCTGAGTCAACATGCTTTGGTCATGACAACAGCACAATTTTCAGCAATAATTAAATATGAGAGTTCATCCCTGCTTCAGAATAACATTAGGGTTAAATATCAGGTCTACACAAAGTGTGGTCTCTTGGCCAGCAGCATCAGCATCAGCATCATCCAGAATCTTGCTAGAAATGCAAAATCTCAGCTCTACTCCAGACCCACTGAGTCTCTGTGGTGGGGCCCAGGGATCTGCATGTTGAGTAACTGTACAGGTGATTTTAATGTTCACTAAAGTTTGAGATAATCTTTGCTACAAAATGTATCTTTAAATTTTTCACCTTAAGACACCACCAATAGATGCATGCCCATGTTTTGATACCCTTGCTCCTCCTCGCCCCTACCACACCCACACGTAAACATGGTATTCCTGGGCATGTGCAAGCAGAGTGATGATGCAGAAATAGTATTGTTTGTCAGCAGGTAAAATTCTGAAGGTGGTCAAATGTGCTTTTGTTTCCTTTTGTTTTTTTGCTCTTTTCTTCTCCTCCCCTTCTACTGTTTCTTTTAGATATATTTTTTCAAGTATCAGGTTTCTAGAGTCCCAGGCTCCCCTAGATGCCTACAATGCAAGATGATACTCAAGTCTGTCCGAACCCTTGATAAAATATAACTATCCTAAGTTTATTTTGCTCAGTGCCCTGCTTACTAAATGATAGCAATTTGTTTGTTAGTTAAATAAAGTTTTGGTAGAAGATACAAATAAGTTTTATTTCAAATGAACTTTATTGGAGATTAATTTACATGTAATAAAATGTGCCAATTTAAGTGTACAGTTCAATTACTTTTGATACATTTTTAAACATATGTAGGAACCATCACAATCAAAATGTAGAACATTTTTATTACCACAAAACGTTCCTTCAAGCCTCCTTTGCAGCATTCTTCCCCTGGCTCTCGGCAGCCACTGATCTGCATTCTATTATTGATTAGAGTCCCCTTTTCTAGAATTTCAAAAGTGATGAATGAGATACTTTAATAAAGGCATGATATGATAATAATTATATCATGGAAAATTGGGTATTCATCCCCTCAAGCACTTATCCTTTGTGTTACAAACAATTCAATTATACCTTTTTAGTTATTTTAATATGTACAAGTAAATTTTTCTTTACTATAGTTCTGCTGTTTTGCTAGCAAATACTAGGTCTTATTCATTCTTTGTATTTTTTTTTTGTACCCATTAACCATTGTCACCTTCCTCCCAGCCCCCCCTACCGTTCCCAGCTTCTGTAACCATCCTTCTACTCTATGTCAATGAGTTCACTTGTTTTTATTTGTAGATCCGACAAATAAGTGAGAACAGATGATATTTGTCTTTCTGTGCCTGGCTTATTTTCACTTAATATAATGACCTCCATTTCCTTCTGTGTTATTGCAAATAACAACATTTCATTCTTCTTTATGACTGAATAGTACTCCATTGTGTATAAGTACCACCTTTTCTTTATCCATTCATCTGTTAATGGACAAATAGGTTGTTGCTTCCTAATCTTGGCTATTGTGAACAGTGCTGCAACAAACATAGGAACGCAGATATCTCTTCAATATACTGGTTTCCTTTCTTTTGGGTATGTACCCACCAGTGGGATTGTTGGATCAGATGGTAGCTGTATTTTTAGGTTTTTGTTTGTTTGTTTTGTTGTTGTTTGTTTGTTTGTTTTAAGAACCTACAAACTGTTCTCCATAGTGGTTGTACTAATTTACACTCCCACCAGCAGTGTACAAGGGTTCCTTTTTCTCCACATCCTCACTAATGTTTGTTATTGGCAAACTTTTAAATAAAAGCCATTTTAATTTGGGTGAGATGATATCTCATATCTCATGTAGTTTTCATTTGCATTTCTCTGATGTTGAAGACCTTTTCATATACCTGTTTGCCATTTATATGTCCTCTTTCACACAAGCTAGAATGAAGTGGCATGATCTTGGCTCACTGCAATCTCCGCCCCCTGGGTTCAAGAGATTCTCCTACCTCAGCCTCTTGGGTAGCTGGGATTATAGACGCCTGCCACCACACCCAGCTAATTTTTGTATTTTTAGTAGAGACAGTGTTTTGCCACGTTGGCCAGGCTGGTCTCAAACTCCTGACCTCAGGTGATCCGCCTGCCTCAGCCTCCCAAAGTGCTGGGATTACAGGTGTGAGCCACCATGCTCAGCCATGTATGACTTCTTTTGAGAAATGTCTATTCAAATCTTTTGCCTATTTCTTGATTGGATTATTAGATTTTTCCCTATAGAATTGTTTGAGCTCCTCATGTATTCTGGTTATTAATCCTTTGTCAGATTGGTAGTTTGCAAATATTTTCTCCCATTCAGTGGGTTATCTCTTCACTTTACTGATTGTTTCCTTTGCTGTACAGAAGCTTGTTATCTTGATGTGATCTCATTTGTCCATTTTCGTTTTGGTTGTCTGTGTTTGCAGGGCATTATGGAAGAAATTTTTGCCCAGAACAATGTCCTGGAGAGTTTCCTCAATATTTCTTGTAGTAGTTTCATAGTCTGAGGCCTTAGGTTTAAGTCTTTAGTCCATTTTGATTTGATTTTTGTATTTTGCAAGAGGTAGGGGTCTAGTTTCATTCTTCTGCATATGGATATCCAGTTTTCCCAGGACCATTTATTAAAAAGACTGTCTTTTCCCCAGTGTATGTTCTTGGCAACTCATTTGTTGAAAATGAGTTCACTGTAGGTGTGTAGATTTGTTTCTGAATTCTTTATTCTGTTTCATTGGTCTGTATGTCTGTTTTAATGCCAGTGCCATACTGTTCTGGTTACTATAGCTCTGTAATATATCTTGAAGTCAGGTAATGTGATTCCTCCAGTTTTGTTCTTTTTGCTCAGGATAGCTTTGACTAATCTGGGTCTTTTGTGATTCCATATAAATTTGAGTATTTTTTTTCTATTTCTGTGAAGAATGTCATTGACATTTTGATAGGGATTGTATGGAATCTGTAGATTTCTTTTGGTAGTATAGAGATTTTAACAATATTGATTCATCCAGTCCATGAACAAGGAATATATTTCCATTTTTTGTCCTCTTCATTTCTTTTTCTTTGGTGTTTTATAGTTTTCATTGTAGAGGTCTTTCATTTCTTTGGTTAAGTTAATTCCTAGATATTTCATTTTATTTGCGGCTATTGTAAGTGGAATTACTTTTTTATTTCTTTTTCAGATTTTTCACTGTTGGCATATGAAAGTGTTACTGATTTTTGTATCTTGATTTTGTATCCCAAAATTTTACTAAATTTATCAGTTCCAGTAGTTTTTTTTTTTTTTTTTTTTTTGGT